AAAGGAAGGTTGGGATTGATTTTGGGGATGATGGTCCCAACTGTTAAGGAATTATGGGCCCAAAAAGGGGCCCAAAACAAGCATATTTCTAGTTTCAGGATAATAACTTGTGTATAAGTATTTCGATTGCTCTGAAATTGTACCACAATGTTTAATACCACAAGTAGAAGGTTGGGATTCATTTCAGGGGTTATGGGGGCCAACAGTTTAGGAATTAAGGGTCAAAAAGGGGCCAAAAACAAGCATTTTTCTAGTTCCCAGACAATAACTTGTGTGTAAGTGTATGGATCTCTCTGACATTGTACCACAAGGTTCCATATAACAAAGGGAAGGCTGGGATTGAGTTTTGGGTTAATTGTCCCAAACATGTAGGAATTAGGGGCCAAAAAGGGCCAAAAACAAGCATTTTTCTAGTTTCCAGACAATAACTTGTGTGTAAGTGTATGGATATCTCTGAAATTGTACTACAAGGTTCCATACTACAAAGGAAAGGCTGGGATTGAGTTTTGGGGTTATTGCTCCAAGGGGGGTTTCAAAAAGTTTGGGGGTGGGAATTTTTTCCCCAATTTTTTTAAGGGATTCATATTTTTTTTTTTAAACTTTTTAAAATTTCGAATTTTTGAAAATTTTCAAGAAGAAATCTTCAATTGCACAGTATTGCGCAATGGGTTTATAAGATCTTCGACCGCATTTATTTTGTGTCAGAAACCTATATTATGTCAAAAATTTGATCACAATCCAAATTCAGACAGTATCAAGCTTGAATATTGTGTCCAAATTTGCCCCAACTGTTCAGGGTTCAACCTCTGCGGTCGTATCAGGCTGTGCTCAGCGAAGCATTTTATTACTGTTTATTTTATTCATTTTGGTATAAGAGATTTGATGGGAAACTAAATTGTCCTTGAAATTATTATAAACAAAAAATCTGATTGAAAAGGGGATCAAGTTTAAATGACATAAAAACACATTTTAATTTACATTGCAATGAGAAGTGTAAGTAGTTTTTATACAGAGTTGTACAATGGGAATTTATTTGTACAGAAGACTGTGATAAATCTCCCTTTTTTTCCTTTTGCATGGAGCCAAATTACCTATTGCAATATGATAAAAGTGGATAATGAAAAACCTGAAACGCAGAGTCATGTAAAAGGAAAACCCTGAAATGCAGAGCCAAGTAAAATAAAAAAAAAACTGATACACTGAGCCATGTAAAAAAAAAAACCTACACCACAGAGCCATGCAAAATAAATATCATGAAACACAGAGCCATGTAAAATAAAAAACATGAAATACAGAGCCATGTAAAATAAAAAAACATGAATCACAGAGCCATGTAAAATAGAAAACATGAAGCACAGAGCCATGCAAAATAAAAAACCTGAAACACAGAGCCATGTAAAATAAAATATCTGAAACACAAAATGAAAAAGCTGAATCACAGAGCCATGTAAAAAAAAACCTGATACACAGAGCCATGTAAAATACAAAACCCGAAACACAGAGCCATGTAAAATAACAAATATTTAACACAGAGCCATGTAAAATAAGAAATATTTAACACAGAGCCATGTAAAATAAAAAACCTGAAACACAGGCCAATGTTTAAAAAATAAATAACATGAAACACAGAGCCATGTAAAATAAAAAAACCTGAAACACAGAGCCATGTAAAAGGAAAACCCTGAAATGCAGGGCCAAGTAAAAAAAAAAAAAACTGACACACTGAGCCATGTAAAGAAAAAACCTACAACACAGAGCCATGCAAAATAAATATCATGAAACACAGAGCCATGTAAAATAAAAAACATGAAATACAGAGCCATGTAAAATAAAAAACATGAAACACAGAGCCATGTAAAATAAACATGAAACACAGAGCCATGCAAAATAAAAAACATGAAACACAGAGCCATGTAAAATAAAAAACCTGAAACACAAAATGAAAAAGCTGAAACACAGAGCCTTATAAAAAAAACCTGATACACAGAGCCATGTAAAATACAAAACCCAAAACACAGAGCCATGTAAAATAAGAAATATTTAAAACAGAGCCATGTAAAATAAAAAACCGGAAACACAGGCCAATGTAAAAAATAAATAACATGAAACACAGAGCCATGTAAAATAAAAAAAACCTGAAACACAGAGCCATGTAAAATAAAAATCCTGAAACACAGAGCCATGTGAAATAAGAAATATTTAACACATAGCCATGTAAAATATAAAACCTGAAACACAGAGCCATGTAAAATAAAAAACCTGAAACACAGAGCCATGTAAAATAAGAAATATTTAACACAGAACCATGTAAAATAAGAAAAATTTTTTCTCACTTTTTGTTCACCTGACAAAAATAATATCTGGTGTTCCTCAAAACAGTACTTTATGTCTCAAACCATAAAAAAATTAAGAATATTCTATGCTAGGACTACCATGCATAAAATGTAAAACTAAAAGCTGAATTCACAATGCCCATTTAAAACATTTTTGTGTATACATGTTTTATGGTCTACATCTTTGTAATGAAAAGTGATCAATATTGTTTATCATACATTCAATTCTACATTTAGAAGTCAATTAACAGCTTTAAATCTTTATATAATTAAAAATGTCGAAGCCCCAGTGTGAATGCACCAAAATATAAAGGAGTTCATTACACACTGTCTTATCTCTATTATCCTAAATGTTTATAAAATTTGGAAGTTTATTAAGATTACATATATACATGGGGAGATGTTTCCACCTGTCATTATGTGTACAATGTATATAACTTCAGAATTGCTATTTCATTTTCTATTGTATTAAAACAATTAGTTGGCTTATAAAACATGCCTATTTTTATAAACCAATTGAATTCCATAGTACTGTTTTAATGTCCATTGATAAAGCACCTGCTAACACTGGTTAGTGGTAGTTTATCACTGTTTGGTAGGATTCAAATATAACCTTTATTTGCCACTTATGGTATAGATTATGTGGTCAAGTGGAAGTCAAGAGCCTCACAGTTATTCAGTGGTTGTCTTTTGTTGCTGTATATCATATTTTTTTTTCTTCGTTTCTTGCTTTAATTGTTTTGCAAAGTTGTTTTGGGGCCTTTTATAGGTTGCTATTCAGTATGGGTTTTGCTCATTGTTGATGGCTGTACTAATTGGTGACTTATAATTGCTAACTTCATTTCCATTCTGGTGGAGAGTTGTCTCATTGGCAATACCGCATCTTCTTATTTTTATATTAGTAGAGGTAAAATAATGATTCTGATTTCCATAAAAGTTTTGACAATTAATTGTATATTTTTGTTCAATTCCCATTGAAAGAATTTATATTGGTAAGATAAATAAAAATATAATTAGATGTCTGGACATATTTGTTTTTTCATAAATAGTTTTATTATAAGTAAGGCTGTTTAATTGCTTCATCTTTTTTTTGGTATGGGTTTTTTCTCATTGTTGAATAAAATTGAGAATGGAAATGGGGAATGTGTCAAAGAGACAACAACCCGACCATAGAGCAGACAACAGCCGAAGGCCACCAATGGGTCTTCAATGCAGCGAGAAACTCCGCACCCGGAGGCGTCCTTCAGCTGGCCCCTAAACAAATAAGTATACTAGTTCAGTGATAATGGACATCATACTAAACCCCAAATTATACACAAGAAACTAAAATTAAAAATGATACAAGACTAACAAAGGCCAGAGGCTCCTGACTTGGTACAGGCGCAAAAATGTGGCGGGGTTAAACATATGGTGGCCCTTAATTGCTTACTACCACCTCATTTTAACCCTGGTGGATAGTTGTTTCATTGTCAATCATACCACATCTACTCAATTTCATATATATAGCCATAAAACAGCTAGTTATAGATAGGTTTATATATATACAGTATGTAAGGTAGATTGATTTAAAAAATATTCTACCAATAGATTGGTTAGAGGCCATTTATAAGAAATATCAAACTGCCAAAACATTAATAATACAGATATGTTTGTTTATTAATGTACATCTTTTTTGTTTTATCATCTCTTAAACATCTGTATTAGGTTTTAGATTTATTTTAATATTTTGACCTCAAACATCCCTGAAAAGACATTCATTGTCAAAATGTGCTTCTGGTGCAGTAAAAATGGTACTGTTATTCAAGCCTCAATAAAAAAACAGAAATTAAACATTGATGTCACAATACTTATATACATATATATATGTGTGATAAATGATGGTATAAAAAATGGAAAGTTGCTATTCAACTCTGCAACACATCAAAAGTACAACTACATTTGCTTCCATTTAATTCCCAAATGGACTTGGCAACTCTTCATATATATAATTGTATTCCATAACTATGACCTGGGAATCTGAAATATTTTACTAATGTGATAAAAAGGGGAATTGTCTGGAAAATGACTGTTATCATTGACTTGTTCTTTTAAAAGCAGTAAGCATTGGGGACCAGATTTTCCCCAAAATAATTTTGAAGAATCAGTAGTTTAGAACAATTTTGCAATTTTTGTAAAACTGAAAATTAACATGAGTGGTTACAACTAAACTTATTTTGATATAACAAGTGCAGCTTGTATATATAACATGACATTTTACATCAAATTATAAGATATCAAACTCAAATTCACTTAAACCATCTTTAAAATGTTATTTACATGCATATATGTTTTCCAGCGTTTCTGAAGAAGAAAATATGGTCCAGTTCATTTATTAAAGTTTTGTGTATTTGAAGTGACAACCTTACAGGTATTTATCACTTTACTGAATGGTGATAAGAAAAAAAATGAAACCTGTCAAAAGCAACACCAACTTGAATAGAATGTTTTGATTGGATTAGATGAATTCATTTTTTGCAGATAATACACATTGTTATCCAGAAAGACTAGTTTCAGCTGATGAAATGAGACTAAACTATTGATTATTTTAGGACAGTTTAGCAGGAGTTAGCTGACATTTTATCGAACAATATAATTAAATTTCAAATTAATATGTTTTTTTCTTTTCAGACTACAACCTGTTTGACAATAACATAGTGTTACCGTCACCCCTGACCTGTGAACTTTACCCTCCAGATATGGAGTTGGCAACTCACACACCCAGCAAGAAAAGAAAGGGTTCTGAGTAAGTTACAGGTTTTAACAAACCAGAAAAAAAGCAAATTGGGTCCAAGGAAAGGCAAATATAAAGTAATGTAATCTTACAGAGGTCTATTGATAAACTTGTACATCGAGACAGATTTAAGCAAAATAACATACTTTTTTTCTTAATTTGATGAGTTGATGTTAAATACAAATTTCTTGACTTCAAAGAACTCCAATAACTATTAACATTTTTTCAAACTTTATTTTTTAGTAAAAAAGAAAGAACATTGAATTTGAAAAATGGAACCAATTTAGAATTGATATGCTGAAATGTATAAAAAGTGTTGCTATCTCTGTTCTACTGTCTGCCAGTTTTACAGCATGAAAAAGAAAATAAGATGCAATGAATAAGGACAGTATCATAAAAAAAGTATTTCCAAGTGCTTTCATTGTACAATTTTAGAACTTAGGGATTACACAAATGTAACAAATTAGTTTAAAGTCTTCCTATATGACTGGAATTTTTTAGCGTTAATTTAAGTATAATCATGTATATCATGTGTTCCTTACATAAAAGAAAAAAATAGAATTAACGATAAAGTTTTCCACATACGTACAATTGAGCCAGACAAGAAGCATGGCATACTTTTTCTTTTGCACCAACTATATATAAAAAACTAAACACATAAATTTTTGAAATCATCAGTCATACATATTCTTTTCCACTTCATCATACAGTTTTACGTAACTATTCAAATAAATAATACCTGTGTTACATATATACTTACAGCTATTCATTAAAATTACTTTTTTAAATTTTTATAGGTCGATGTTTAACGACTTTGAAGAGGAAGATGAATCTGTTGACTCTGGTGATGTACGTTTTTCAAGGTATGTAAATCAGGTATAGTGAGAGATGCAATTTTCTAAGATGTAATATTTTATGGTAAAACATACATTCCTATAGGTATGTTTCATTATAATGGTAAGACACATACTCAGCAGATGTACAATTCTCTAGGTATGTTACATTGTGATGGTAAGACACATAATTAGCAGACATACAATTCTCTAGGTATATTACATTGTAATGGTAAGACACATACTTAGCAGAGCAGACATACAATTCTCTAGGTATGTTACATTGTAATGGTAAGACACATACTCAGCAGATGTACAATTCTCTAGGTATGTTACATTGTGATGGTAAGACACATAATTAGCAGACATACAATTCTCTAGGTATGTTACATTGTAATGGTAAGACACATACTTAGCAGACATACAATTCTCTAGGTATATTACATTGTAATGGTAAGACACATACTCAGCAGATGTACAATTCTCTAGGTATGTTACATTGTAATGGTAAGACACATAATTAGCAGACATACAATTCTCTAGGTATATTACATTGTAATGGTAAGACACATACTTAGCAGACATACAATTCTCTAGGTATGTTACATTGTAATGGTAAGACACATACTCAGCAGATGTACAATTCTCTAGGTATGTTACATTGTGATGGTAAGACACATAATTAGCAGACATACAATTCTCTAGGTATATTACATTGTAATGGTAAGACACATACTTAGCAGACATACAATTCTCTAGGTATGTTACATTGTAATGGTAAGACACATACTCAGCAGATGTAAAATTCTCTAGGTATGTTACATTGTAATGGTAAGACACATACTTAGCAGACATACAATTCTCTAGGTATGTTACATTGTAATGGTAAGACACATACTCAGCAGACATACAATTCTCTAGGTATGTTACATTGTAATGGTAAGACACATACTCAGCAGACATACAATTCTCTAGGTATGTTACATTGTAATGGTAAGACACATACTCAGCAGATGTACAATTCTCCAGGTATGTTACATTGTAATGGTAAGATACATACTCAGCAGATGTAAAATTCTCTAGGTATGTTACATTGCAATGGTAAGACACATACTCAGCAGACATACAATTCTCTAGGTATATTACATTGTAATGGTAAGACACATACTTAGTAGACATACAATTCTCTAGGTATGTTACATTGTAATGGTAAGACGTAATGGTAAGATACATACTCAGCACACATACAATTCTCTAGGTATATTACATTGTAATGGTAAGACACATACTTAGCAGACATACGATTCTCTAGGTATATTACATTGTAATGGTAAGACACATACTCAGCAGACATACAATTCTCTAGGTATGTTACATTGTAATGGAAAGACACATACTCAGCAGATGTACAATTCTCTATGTATATTACATTGTAATGGTAAGACACATACTCAGCAGATATACAATTCTCTAGGTATGTTACATTGTAATGGAAAGACACATACTCAGCAGATGTATAATTCTCTATGTATGTTACCTAAGGTCAGCATAAAGATGTATTTTATGGCTAGAGGATTATGGCTTACAGACTAAAGATATACATTTGTATTTTAACCAGTCAAACTTATAGACTAAGAACATATATGTGTTGATAAGTTTCATACAAGAATTCTCAAATATGTTTTATTATGAAAATATTCGGTAAATAAAATGGGCATAGACAATGAATATGTGGCCTTTGCAGCTGACATTTGACCTGGTTAAACCTGCTTTTTAATGTCCATGACATCAATACAATACCCCAAAATCCCAATGAACTAGGGCATTAGGTAATGTAGACAATGATTTAAACACTTCTCACCTCTGAATGGAACACTTTACTTTTGATTGAATATAAATATTGCTATGATTCCCTAATGAATCAACCGTACACAATAATTCAATATTACTCTGACGAGTTTACCCAGTAGTGATGTAACAGTATTACCTCATTACTCCTATAATGGGTCTCTGATGCCTCTTATTGAATAAGACTTTCTACTAAATGAAAATCCATGGAGAAATTCTAGATCATTTGTATAGGTAGAAGTGCTGTAAATCATGACGTATTTCATCTTCATAAATCACACATAAGGTATTTTGTATTGATCTTGTCCTTAAATTTCTCTTCATTTTCATCCTTTCAAAATGATGAATAGCTTTTTGTCATGTGAAAGAGAGCTAACTGGTACAATGACATTTAAGAAAGAAATTTTGTTTTTTACTAATTTAGCATTAAATATATATGTAATTGTTGCTAGCCTGAAGTTTTAATCAATTTCAGCAATGCTATGAGACAGAATGTAAATTACTTTTGAAAATGTTAGAACTGTATATACCTGGTTTTGGTCATTAGTAAGATCATTTAACTCTATGAGACATGTGACAATGAGTATCATTTAAATAGGAAATATCCTTCAAACAGGTGGATTTTTAGTAGGTGCAAAAAGGTTTGGGTTCTATAAGACCCCCTTTTTTTTGTTAAAATTTTAAACAATCACAATGTATCATAGTAAAAACAGTGACTAGATAGGAATTATTATCTTATGAAATTTGGCATAAAGACTGTGTGTCACTGCTTCATGTGACCTCAACATTACAATTTCGTATCCAAATTTTTATAGGTCCATCCGAAAATCATATATAATCTTGTTAATACCATGGTAACACCTTTTCATTGCAACTAATGGTTTGTCCCTTTGGGGAGGGGCATGCTCCCCTTCATATAATGAATTGTTAAATATATCAAATAGGGTTCAGATTCCAGGCATCCTGAACCCACATATCATCTTAATTGCCTTGATTAGCTGTTTAAAAACTGTTCTTAACCCCACCCCTAAACCATTAACATTTCCATTTGTGAGAACAAGACCTTTCACTTTACCATAGATTTTATCACTGGAAGTCATGGACCCTCCTCTTGTTAAATATATCAAAAACTGTTCAGATCCCCACCCTAAACCATATATATTCTAGACTGCCATGACAAGACCTTTTATGTGCACTATAGATTTTGTCTGTTGTTGGGGTTGGGACATGGGGAGGGGGGGTACTTGCCCCCTCTCACATCATAACCATATGAAAGACAGTTCAGATTCCCACCCATTCACCATATATATATTCTTATTTGACATGACAATACCTTTTCCTCTTTATAATGTGTTGATGGGCCTGTTTTACTGGAGTTATTTCCAGAGATGAAGGGAAGACATTAGTATTAGTCCAAACAGTTCCACCTAGTCTAAAACATATCCTATTTCATGTCTATTCCATGTATGGTCCAAGAAAACCTGTGAATTTAGCAAAAATATATGAATCATAGGTTACACAGCTAAGAATATTAAACAATGTATTGCATATGATGAACAACAAAAGAAACACACCTTCAGATATTTCTATATATAATCATTTAAACTTTTTTGTCTATTTTCTTTAAGTAATGTGAGGATTAAACAAAAGGTTTAAGACAATGTTTCTGTTATCAACCACATCGTATTCTGCCAAGCTAAGGAATTTTTATGAAACAAGGTTTTATTTAAATAATTCAAAAAATATAACTCCATCTAGTTAACCAAGGCTGTTGTGGTTACTTTTGGTAGAGACTCCTGGTACTAAAAGTATAAAATAACAAAATTCATAAGACTTCTACAGGTGTCTAATTGGTAGCAATTCAAAATGACATGATATTAGACTTCCTATCCATTTATCACAGCAGAAAGAACTCATTCTTTTTTTTACAATTTTCAATGAAAAATAACAGGTACATAATTATGGTTAACCAAAAGGAAATGTGTGGTATAAAATCAATCAGAGTAACCCATCAACAAAAAAGGACAAAAGACTTCTATATGTCAACAGACAGTCTTCAACAATAGACAAGGTGTCCATACATGTTTATATTGATATAAAAGTTAATTAGTTTTCCCTCTTAATTAATAGATAAACTTTTTGTTAACAGTCACATCTCCTCATGAAAATTCATCTTTTAAAACAATAAGTAAGAGTTAAAACAAAGACGATAATATGAATGAAAAATTGTTTCCTTTTAAAATGGATACCTTTCTGTTTATAGGATTAATTGAACAAGCTTCAATACTTTGCATTATCAGAACAGCAGACAGAAAACTATTACTAAATGATCATTTATCCAGAGAGAATGTGCTTTTTCTGGCATGGTTTACTTTATTTTAAGATCTGTTTTTTTGCTCATTATTTAATACTTAATAGTATCAGAACAATATTTTCTTATAATAAAGCAATCCTTACTACCTCATACATTGATTTAAGTTTCATGTTTTTTTGTTTTTATACGCCCGTTTACGGGACGTATTATGGTATATTGTTGACCGTCTGTCCGTCCGTCCATCGTATGTTGGACATTAACTCCAGAATGCTTTCACCAACTTGCAAGAAATTTTGGTGAATTGTTTATATCTATTGACATGAGCTCCCTTTTGGAATTTTATAAATTTTAGATTTAACGTTTCCGAGTTACAGGGTTTTATTCATAAAAAAAGGGGGATTTTCCAGTTTTCAGACAATAACTAAAAAATACTTTCAGCAGTTCTCATGAAACTTTGGTGAATTGTTTATATCTGTTGATGTAAGCTCCCTTTAGAATTTTATTAATTTCAGATTTTACATTTCTGAGTTATGGGGTTTTATTCATTGAAAAAGGGGGGGATTTTCCAGTTTTTATACGCCCGTTTACGGGACGTATTATGGTATACCATTGTCTGTCTGTCTGTCCGTTGTCAACATGTCGGACATTAACTAAAAGATGCTTTAACCAATTTGCATAAAACTTTGGTGAATTGTTTATATCTATTGACGTGAGCTCCCTTACATTTTTTATAAAATTTAGATTTTACATTTCCAAGTTATGGGGTTTTATTCATTAAAAAAAGAGGGATTTTCCAGTTTTCAGACAATAAGTCAAGAATGCTTTCACCAACTTGCAAGAAATTGTGGTGAATTGTTTATATTTATTGACATGAGCTCCCTTTCGATTTTTATAAATTTTAGATTTTACGTTTCCGAGTTACAGGGTTTTATTCATAAAAAAAGGGGGGATTTTCCAGTTTTCGGACAAAAACTCAAAAATGCTGTCAGCAATTCTTATGAAACTTTGGTGAATTGTTTGTATGTATTGATCGATGTAAGCTCCCTTTAGAATTTTATAAATTTTACATTTTACATTTCTGAGTTCTCATGAAACTTTGGTGAATTATTTTTAACTATTGATGTAATCTCCCTATTGATTTTCATAAATTTCAAATATGACATTGAGAAGCAATTGAACTTTATTTGTTTATAGTCTGACAACAGATTTACTAAGTATTGCGCAACAGCACAGTGTATTGCACAACAGCAAGAAATCTTTTATTGAATATAAATTCAATTCATATAACCAATTTCAAGTTCTTTGACTTCATTTATTCAGAAACCTATGATATGACAAATATTTAATTACAATCCAAATTCAGACCTGTATTAAGCTTGAATATTGTGTCCATTTTTGCCCCAACTGTTCAGGGTTGGACCTCTGCGGGCGTATCCAGCTGTGCTCAGCGAAGCAGTTTATTAAGTAACTTGTACATAGAAACAAGCTTCATTGCAATAGTGTCGGATGATGGAACAATAATAACAGAATAAAAGCTTACTTTATAATAGAAATCCTGCAACTTAATATCATTTGTCATTTCATGTGCATGTTCTCCTTATAAAAATAAGAAAATGTGGTATGATTGCCAATGAGACAACTCTCCACCAGGGACCAAATGACGTAGAAGTCAACAACTATAGGTCACTGTACATCCTTCAAAAATGAGCAAAACCCATACCCCATTCTTGTCTATTCTTATTTCCATTCACCATAATGTGATTCAGTGATTTTTATGCCCCACCTAGGGGCATCTGTGTACTATGGACACATTCTTGTTAAAGCAGTGGTTCATAAGTGTTTCCTTGTTTCTCGTTTTTTATATAGATTAGACCGTTGGTTTTCCCGTTTGAATGGTTTTACACTAGTAATTTTAAGCTTTATAGCTTACTGTTCGGTGTGAGCCAAGGCTCCGTGTTGAAGACCGTACTGTGACCTATAATGGTTTACTTTTATAAATTTTGACTTGGATGGAAAGTTGTCTCATTGGCACTCATACCACATCTTCTTATATCTATTAACCATGCTTTTCTGTGTACCGGTACTAGACCAGTCATTACATGTTGTATGTAACCAATTTTTTTTTAGATTTAAAATAAAAGAAAGAAACAACAAACTTAAATAATAAATATTTATACAAATTTAATTTATTTATATTTTCAGACAAAATCACAGTGAAATTGAAAAGAGGAGACGAGATAAAATGAATGCCTACATTACAGAGTTATCTTCCTTGCTTCCTATGTGTAATGCTATGAATCGTAAATTAGACAAATTAACTGTACTTAGAATGGCCGTCCAACATCTGAAATCACTCAGAGGTAAAATTGTCACATATTTAAAAGAATTACTTTATGTTATTGGGTAAATTATTTTAGCAGAGTTAGAACATAATAGATCTCCCCTTATATGATAAATTGTCATTTGGATATCAACATTTTAGTTTCTGGACAATATCTTTGGAGCCATGAACAATATAAAAATAAGAAGATGTGGTATGATTGCCAATGAGACAACTCTCCACAAGAGACCAAATGACACAGAAATTAACAACTATAGGTCACCGTACGGCCTTCAACAATGAGTAAAACCAATCCTGCCTAGTCAGCTATAAAAGGCCCCAAAATGACAAATGTAAAACAATTCATACGAGAAAACTAATGGGCTGATTTATGTACAAAATAATGAACGAAAAACAAATATGATATACAGCAACAAACGACAACCACTGAATTACAGACTCCAGACTTGGGACAGGCACATACAGAATGACGTGGGGTTAATCTAGTTTGAAGGCGCAACAACCTGCTCCTAACCTGGGACAGTGGTGTAACAGTACAAACTATAAAAATCAGTTGAACAGGGCTTACTTCCATCAGATCAATACAAAGCAGAAATACATCTAACAAAAACACAGAGTGGACGTGGCAGGGTACTTCTACATCCCCACAACAAAAAGACACTAAGTACGGATCTGAGAGTACTCACAGTTACTGACAGCTAGTTCAAAGCCAATAACAACTAATAAAAAAAATCATGCATCTAAGACTAAAGTATCAATCAGTACACATCCAATATCCAATTGATTTAGTGTAAAGACGTCATTAACAGTCAGAGAAAAACATGACCTTGTGCAATGCCAAAATACAGGTATCGACAGATTGTAGAGTCATGGATGTGCATATGTATATAAAAATAATATTTAGTTTGATTTTAATTTACTGATAACAAAATCAATATTAATACCAATAAAAACAATATTCAAAGATGTTATTATAATGTTGAATTGGTAACCTTTTAGAATAAGTTCATTTAAAAGATCAATAAGTTTACCCGGATTGTATCTAAATTTCCAGGCTCGGTAAACAACATCTTTGTAAAAATTAGGATGTGCTATCCCGTTAAAATATCTGAATTAAACTTGGTTTGATACTGCTCTGTTGGCTGAAGAAGACTTCCATTGATTTTTGTAAAGATTGGAACTTGTACCAATTCTTTCCTATGGCATCACCTCACAAATCAGGGTGTAGCCACCTGCTTTGACAAATCTAAGTAAACTAGATATAGTTTCCAATACTTGCCATGTCTATATAGATATGCTCAAATGTACTGTGAAAAAATTAGAGTTATATCTATGGTATAAACGTTAATACTACACTAGTTAAAACGAAACAAATCAGTATCCCACATGAAGAATGACAGTAAATGTTTTGTTAAAATAATGCTAACAATAAATATTTTATTTTGTTTGACCTAAACAGAAGCTCAAGAAATACAATTTGGTGAACAAGAATACATTTTAACACTCATTTAACACTAATGGTGATGAAAAGAGGGTGTTAGTCATCTACTATTGCATTTGAGATTACACTCAACGAAAGAGATCTTTAATAGAGGTTTCTTTAATAGTTAATTTTATAATTGAGCATTAAAATAAAATGATGCCTTCATGCTCTTTAACTATTATCAATCTTTAATCCCAATAAAACTTTGAATGTCAATGATAATGGAAAATATTAAGTGTATGAATAAAATAAGATATGGGATATACATCCTTTAGAGAGCAACCCAAAGACAAAAATAGCCAAAAGACATCTGAAGGGCAATATTCAGTCTTCGGGTGTCTTTACAATATGTTCAGTTTTAAATTATAATGATTTGTTTTTATAAGTTTTTTGGTTCATATCTTGTTTGACATAGTTTGAAATTTTTGCACCTAGACACTTTAGGCCAGAGTGCTTACCTTCAACCTTGTTTGATGAAATGTATAGGCAAGAGAATTTATTTTTAGCCTTGTTAAGAAATTATCAAGTCAGAATCAGTGAAATAACACTCATGGAACTTTAACAGTATATTTAACAGCTAATGAATTTCACTGACATATCTAAAGTAGCATTATAAACTTGGTATGGGTTTTTCTCATTGTTGAAGGCCGTATGGTTGCCTATAATTGCTTACATCCACTTCATTTGAACTCGGTGGATAGTTGTCTCATTGGCAATCATACCACATCTCCTTATTTTTATATTTGTAAGTAACTGAGATTCTTTCACATTATTTTGAAAAAGACATCTTGTTTGTAAATGATAACATAAAAGCCCAACATTAAACCAGAATTAAGCATGCAATCATTGAAACACTAATAATAATAATAATCAGGGAGAATCAGTTTGACTGACATAAACTACACAGATACACACAAGCACAATCATCAATTGAGTACAAACCCTTACTTAAACAAGAAATGTTTTAGTTAGTAATCAGTTGTAATTCTATAAGCTAACAACAATATATTAAAGAATTTAGTTTTCCATTTTTACATTTACAAAGATTTTTGTAATTAAACTTTTGATTACTAGAACACTCATGTTCCTTGTTTTGTTCTATTTTCATTTTCATTTTGAAATGAACATGCGTTCAAATTACAAACTGGCTCAATGGAAAAACATCTCTTACATACAATAAATAGAATTCAAGGATGGCAAAGGATGAAATGAAAAAAAATCACATAACCAACAAATACCAGACGTGATCTACACAAAAGGGGAAATAAAACATGATTTTTATAGGCAAGTAAGACAGATGTCGTTTATAAACCAAAAATGTCTTAGAGAAAAACTGAGAATTTCATATATAAATCAAAAGAGATGTTGGTATATGTTACTTAAACAGTAACCCAACATAGAAAATAGTCATTCAGAGAGGTCAGCATAAAGAATTCTACAGAAGGCAAGTGTCAGTGCTCAAAAACAATAAATTGTTACTTTTGACAAAGACTTTGCAATTTGACTATATATTATATGACATAAGGAGATGTCAGTGAGATGACTATATATACTGAGTGACTTTAAAAACGCAATACTCATTTTGTTGATTTTTTTTAACCAAATCATGTTTGATCCTCATACAACTACTATTCATGCTTACCATACTTCTTTCTCTTTAAAAAAAAATCAACATTTGACTTAATTGTGCTTATTGAACATACCTGATTATTGAAGTCGCATGAATTTCTTGAAGCGAATTTTGGAACCCATTAAAGATTTTTTCAGGTTTTTTTCTTCGTGAAACAGTTCTTCCAATCCTTGGCCACACTTAAATCAGTTAAAAAATGTTGCATCTCCATATTGCCAAGATTGAGAAATAAAAAACTGAATGAGCCCATAAGAATACTGCAAACAGGAAAACGTGGATGTGCTGCAACCAGACAATTTGACGTCAGAAACTCGTCTTACTGTCCTTCCTACAACGATACAGGTATACAGGATTTGATGATGACCATCAATGACCAGATCAACATGTAGTGACAATGCAACATCAATAGAATTTAATTTCTCAACGTCATTTGCGAGACATGTTTACGGCCGTAACGTCAACTGCTAATCAAATTGCTGAATGCATTGTGCACAGATTCATGCCTAAAAATGTTTCCCATAAACTGAACTGCCAAAGAATCGACTGCAGAAAAACATTTAAAGCCCTTAAATTTCAACCGCATAACTGCCAAAATCCATTGTAATGGGTGGAACAAAGGCAAAATGAGAACGTGCAAAACAGAACCAAAAATATGCCGAACAGAATTGGTTGACCTTTCTGACAATCGTTTTGACATTTTTACAGGCAGTCATTGCTTTTGACGGTGACACATTCATTGGTAAGGGGAAAACCAGGGTTTCAGTGTATACCACATAAATTGAACATTAAAAATGATGTAATCAATTCAACTTTCAAACTGCCAATTTTTTTTAAACAATGAAGTAATGAAAGAAATTTCTGTTCATAAGTTTTTTTTAACCAAAATGCATATTTGAAAATGGGAATTAAAAAGAATAATCTAGTGTTGCGTTTCTAAAGTCGGTCAGTATATTATGTGACATAAGGAGATGTCAGTGAGATGACTATATATTATGTGACATAAGGAGATGTCAGTGAGACAGCAGACCAATGACACAAAATGAAATATAAAGTTAAAAGACAAATTAAAAATTATTAATTAAATAAAGATGAGCTGGATACATTGATGACAAAGGCATGTCTCTCTTGGGGTGAATAGATTTAGGAGTTATGATTTTGTTCAAGATTAGGAGTTATTAGATTATTGTCGAAGGTATTGTTTACATAGCTTGTTTACACTTAGTAATAGTTGTGTAAAGCTTTCTGTAAAATTCAGGTACTTGTTCATTGGAAGGCTATTGTGTTATTATATATATTTTGGTGCAATTTATTTGCTTACCGGCAGTTGTTATTTCATTGACCTTTAACCCAAATCTATCACTTAACTCAGTATATTCAAATTACACAGGTATACTTTATAGACAGATAAAAGATTTATTTTTTGTAAGTGTTCAATGCAATAGGTCAGAAAGGTTTCCTATTGAATAATGGAAGTCTGCTTTTACATAGGGATTATGCAACGGGTCAGAAAGGTTTCCTATTGAATAATGGAAGTCTGCTTTTACATAGCACTACAAAAGTCAAAAAGTCTGAAAAGACCAGTTTTTGTCTGAATTTGCATGAATTTTTACTCGACATTCTTAATTTGTCTGAATAATTTTTAAAAATTCTTGACATAGTATGAATTTGTCTAATAAGGTTCTTGATTTTTCTTGACAAGTGTCTTGACAGTATGAACATTGTCTTAAAATTTCTCGACACTTCCTGTATCATCTGATAAGAGTCTGGATTAGTCTCGACCAATTCTTGACTGTCTTAAATTTGTCTCGATCTGTCTTGACATATTCTTGACATTCTTAATAATGTCTGAATATGTCTCGACATATTCTTGACATTCTAAATAATGTCTGAATATGTCTCGACACATTCTTGACAGTCTTAAATATGTCTTGACACTATCCGAACAGTATAAATTTCGCCTGAAATGTGAACAGACTTATTCTGCACTGTTTATGACATTCTATTGCTGTTATATACTCCTTTTTATTATGGCTAAACTAAACTTTGAAGAATCAAGGATTAATTTGGTATAGTAAGATACCCTTTTGGTGCAACTAAGTTGGAATACCCTGAATAATCCTCCATGTAGTTTAATTTTGATTTATTTTTATTAAACATTTAAGTAATTGTTTTCACTTGGAATATAAGTCGAAGGTATTGACAAACAGCATTTAGATTTTTGCCATTCGCAAAACTGCCAGTCAAATTTGCTTTTCCAAAATAGGTGTCTTGTATCTCTTTTGGACCCCACAATTCATCTTTTGGGTTTGTGTGGCTAAAAAAAGAAGGGGGGGGCTTTCGTTTAGGTCAAAGAATTTGTTCCCATCTTGATTCAAAAACCTTATTCATTTTTTAGAACAACCAAAAAACATTTTTTATTCAAATTTGAGTGTTGAATTTTATAATTTTTTATCAAAAATAAATATTTGTGATAACTTCTTCCTGAAAAGAAAAAAATGTTTAGATCTATATTATGCATGTCTGTTTGAGAACCATTTCATAAGACCGATGATTCCTATAGAAATCATTGATGGGACCCATTATAAATACATTTTTTTTATTATTTCTGGAGTAGATAATAATTTTCTTTTAATCTTTGGGAATTATTCAATTTGTTTTTATGTTAAAATAATTAACTTCATAATTTTGATGAAGAAAATCCATTTCAATTCAATTTTTTTTCATCAAAATGATGATTTTCATTTTCATCTATCAACAAACTTTTTAAATTGTAGTGGCATGGTCAGTCAACTGATAAGTTGTATGGCTGATTACAGGTAAAGCAATAACTTCTATTTGACAGTTGCGTGTACTCTGGGGTGGGGAATACCTTAATTTTATGGGGAACATCCTGTCCATGTGTAATACTTAATATATTCCAACAGATGACATTACACAAATTTTTCTTCTGTTAAATGAATGATTTGTATATCATCATAATTTGCTATTTATATAAACCACATTTTGGTATAATAATTATTTACCATATCAACATTGAATATTATGAATGTAGAATGAAATATGTCTACAGTATGATTGGTTTGAATCATTTAATTTATAAGATTTAGGAATCAAAATTTGTAATTATTTAAAAACCTATATTGAAATTGTTTTATATCAACACACCCACATTTGAATTATTTTATACTTTAGATTTCATAGCCATATTTGCATTTGTAAAAATATTTATATACCCAAATTTTCAATTATTTTACATGCCCAACTTTTATTTTTGTTGTAAAGAAGTGTAACTTGAAACAACAGTATATCATGAATATTGGTCATGATTTGTAAAACTCAGAACTGTCAAGTAAATTTAAGACACCATTCAAAATGTTCAGAATATGTCAAGCCATACTGAGAAAAAATAAGAATGTCGAGAATATGTCGAGAAATTTCAAGACAGTATTCAAATGTCAAGAATTTGTCAAGAAATTTTAAGACCATATTCAGAATGTCGAGAAAATGTCGAGTAAATTTCATACAAATTTAATATAAATGAGAATTTGTCAAGAAAAATTAAGACACAAGTCATACTTTTGGAGAATGTCGAGTAAAAGTTCATGCAAATTAAGACAAAAACTGGTCTTTTCAGACTTTTAGACTTTTGTAGTGTAGGGATTATGCAACTGGTCAGAAAGGTTTCCTATTGACTAATGGAAGTCTGCTTTTACATAGGGAATTAATTATATTTACAGGTGCTACAACAACTATAACTGAAGCTAGTCAGAGACCATCATTTTTATCAGAAGATGTCCTTAAAAGTCTTATATTAGATGTAAGTAACAACAAATTCTCTGTGAAGTCCTCAAAAATCTTTACCAGAAGTTAGTAATAAGAACTTCTCTTTGATATCCTAAATGTCCCATACTAGATCTAAGTAAATATATTAGATTTCTCAAATGATGTTCTCAAAAGTGTTTGATCATGCAATTTTCAGCCATTTTTCTATACAACTAAAATGTTGTGGTTTTTGTATACAATGCAAGTATATCCTCCTTGTATAATGCTTCTGTCATGAGCAAACAGTGATATTTTACAATGAAAACATCTAATATTATTGCATGTATATTAATGGGAGGATAAAATCAATATAAACACTTTGAATGTGAATATAAACTCCACTATGAAATAGGAAAGACGCTTTGCAATCCTGATCAGCTAAACAAGATCTACCGTAATCATTAGAAGACTCCTTATAGGAGTGATTGCCCTTAAATGACATTTTTTATTAATTTTCTACTTTTTGCCCATTATCTCGAAAAATCTAGGTAGAAACTGTAAACAGAAAAAATGACCAGCAATACAAAATTAACACCAATACCAATTTGACAAAAATCAGTGGATGACCCCTTTTAGTAGTATTTGACCTTAAAAGACATTTTTACTAACTTTGTATTTTTGCCTATTATCTCCATTTTTGACAAGTGAGCAATTTAAGCTCTAAGGAGCCTTTTGTTTTTGAGTGTAGGCAGAAGCTGGAGGGGGTTGTGATGCACACTTGAGAATTTTTTTTTAGTCCCACTACAGTTTGTGCTTGTACCATTAGAGTTTGAAAATTCTGACCATTTAATGTTTGTCTTTGTTTGTAAACTCTGGCCGTGTCTGTATTGATGATTGATGTGATTTTTAGCTTACCTGGTCAAAAGGCCAAGTGAGCTTTTTTCATCACTTGGCTTCCGTCGTCGTCGTCTGTTAACTTTTACAAAAATTTTCTTCTCTGAAACTATTGGGCCAAATTTATCCAAACTTGGCCACAATCATTATTAGGGTATCTAGTTTAAAAAATGAGTCTGATGACCCCAGCTGTCAACCAAGATGGCCGACATGGCTAAAAATAGAACATGGGGTAAAATGCAAGTTTTGCCTGATATTTCGAAAACCGCTATAAATAGAGAAAATATGACAGGGGCTAAAATGTTTAGAATGTTGAGCTCTACCTACTGTTCATTTTAGTCTAAACTGTCAGACAAAAAAAATTTTGCCTTTTATCTCGAAAATTATAATCGAGAGATAGAAACTTTGAAAAGCAAAAATGATCAGCAAGATCTAAAATCATCAGACAACTCCTTATTAGAGTTATTGCCCTTTAATAATGATTTTACCAATTTTTTGTGTTACTGCCTAATATCTTAAAAAACTATAATAGATAGATAGAAACTTTAAAAAGCAAAAAATGATCAGCAAGACAAAACCTACTACAAATAAGTCAACATTTCTGAAATTCTTAGTCAACTCTTTATTAAAGTTATTGTCCTTTAATGACTATTTTCCCCATTTCTTTACATTTTTGCTTATTATCTTGAAAACTGTAATAGATAGATAGAAATTTAAATTGCAGAAATGATCAGCAAGACAAGATCTACAAATGTGCAATAATGGCTGAAATCTTCAGTTGACTCGTTATTTGAATTATTGCTATTAAAGGATCATTTTTAACATTTTTATGCATATTTTGCCTATAATCTTGAAAAATATTACAGATAAATAGATACTTTAAAAAGAAAAAAATATCAGCAGGATAAGATCTACAAACATGTCAAACATGACTGAAATTGTCAGTTAACTCTTAATAGAGTTATTCCCCTTTTATGATGATTTTTACTAGAAATTGGCCATTGTTGAAGATGCAGGTGAGCGACACAGGCTCTTTAGATCCTCTAGTAGTAATCCTTTTTATGTATTATTAGATATAGATAATCTTGTCTGATATTCTCAAAAGTGTTAATGACAGCTTCTAATAATCTCCTCAATTATTTAGATCTGGAATGTTGATGAACCACTTAATATACAATATATATATATACATTTTCTTGTATTATATAAATTCTGTGTCTTCATAAAACTATGAGGATAAGCTGTTGATTAACCCAGATATTCCTGTGATACTTCTATTCTCTCAAATATCTTTTAACATTTAGCAATGATCGATTGTCATTTGCATGTATGATAATGATTGGATGTTACTGACGGTTACCAGTTCACATCAAATTCTGATGAGTTAAATGTTCATTATAGACTTTTCTCTATTGTATAAGAAACATGCTGCGCAACCCACTCTTTGAGTCTTTGCTCCATTTGAACTTTCCTCTTACCACATTACAATAAATCGGTACTATTCCCTGTGAAGGACATAGACCTCCATCAAGTTTAGAGTCAAGTTCAGACTTCATGACATAACTTATTAGAATTAAATGCCAGCTAGGAAAACTTCATTTTTTTCCCCAGTTTTCTCACTATTAAAGATATTTAAAATGCAAGGTGTTTTTTTTTTTTCTGATTTAGAGGATTGTACATTATTGTTAGTTGTCTAGTCAATAATTGCTTTGTGGTGTGTTTAATGGCAATTGTCATATATTTATTTTGTTTTTCTGGAAGGAAACTGCTTAGCAAGGGAATGACAAATGTCATGATATGTTTTATGAACATTGTGAACCACTGCACTATTAACTTGATAATCATATTTATATCTGTCTGTTTATTAGTTCAATGATAGCTGTGTGTTGTAACTAAACAATGTCAACAGGGAACTATTTATGGGGAAGAGGAAGGAAAATGAAAAAAGGGAGTTAAAGTGCAATCAGATCCCTGTTGCTACTGGTTAATTTTTTTTTCAAACTGTTTGAAAGTGTACAATATTAATCAGGGTCTAATTTATTCATTGTTGTATACAGTTTTTTGTAACAAAACATATTACATGTAATTGTGATGATCTGAATAAAATTGATACAGTCTGATAATGTTTCTTATTGTCATGTTATGTTTTGACCTTTATTTAGTTTTATCATTTTTGGGCTTAATCTTCCCTCTGCTTGTCTCTCATATTTCATGCTGCTGTATTTTGTCATGTCTTTTCTATTTTCTCCTTTAATTTGGAACACTGGCAGTCTAAAGAAAGAAGTATCAATAGAATGTCATGCTTTTGGGACATTAAAGAAACAAGGGGCAAGTCAAAATAGGGGTCTATTTAGACCTTTTTCTTTTTCCCCAATCCATTATGTTTTCAGATCCTATAAAGTGATATATTATTACCATTCTGAATGTTATGAAATTTTTTACGCTTTCACCTAACCAAGTATCAATCAATTTATATATTTTGTCTGGTCCCATTTTATGGTGTTTTGTGATCATTTCATAAACTGCTCTCTCTTACAATGGAAATCTAACCATAATAATTTCTAGGATGGAATTTGAATCTGAAACCCACATAACATGGCAGTAAATAGGTCAGGTATTGTATAAAAAGTTATAAAAATGAAAATATTAGTGAAAAGAAAAGATTTATAGAGATTGGTGTCTGGGGAGTCTTATAGATTCAGTTACTACAGAATAAATGACAAATAATTTATAAACTGTAGATTAAAAACTTCTGATAAAGGTTGATATTGATTTCATATATTCTTTGTCAAAATTATTTTATTTTATATTCATTGTCATATGTCTTGGTCCACATTGTATTATTTTATATTTATTGTCATAGACCTTGTTGTTTAAAGTGAATGCATGTTTTTCAATTGATTTATGTATTTAATTTTTCCTTTTTAGAAATATAACCATAACTGTCCATCACAATGTTCATCAGAAACCATTCTAATTCAAGAATTATAATAGGATTGTACATAAGATTTTATTTCATCTGAGAAACATACAGTAACAACTCTGCTGCTAAGCATTCTCTAAATATGAACAAAAGTAGGTGTAAGATACATGTCAATGAGACAGCAGCCCAATGACAAAAATAAACTAGAAATAAAATTTAGAAAAAAAGCCACAAATTTTAACAATTGACAAGTGTCTAAACAGCTCTAAATGACCCGGAGTCCAAAATATATTAATAAATTAAACAGATACCACAAAAGGTGTTCATCAACACAAAATTCCATAAAGGACCAAAATATAACATAATATTGCTTATATCCACTTGATTTGAACTTGGATGGATAGTTTTCTCATTGGCATATCACATCTCCATATTTTTATATATAAGGCAGCTACTGATGAGGTTCTTTGCTTTAGAAACTAATTCCACAATTATTTTTTTCTTGCACAGGTAATAATGCTTTATTTGTACTGATTATCTGTTTTGTTTATCATATTACACCTGTATAATTTTTCTCTGTATTTTTAGGTAGCTGAGGGTTTTTTATTTGTTGTCAGCTGTGATAGAGCAAGGATTTTATATGTGTCAGAGTCAGTCGGTGAATTTTTAAATTACTCAAGGGTAAGGACAAATATTATAGCATAAACCACTCACATGGTTACAAGCTTTACCACAGGTTGAATACAGTTTGAATAAATAATTACAGATGTGAAAATTTATTGTCACTCTGGAACTATTAACATAAAGGTTAAAAGATAGATTTTGATGTCACTTAAAAGTTCAGGTTTAGATGGCCAGTCTAGTAGATGCAGATAAAGTTACTTCAGTAATAAGTTCAGGTTTTAATAATCAGTTTGTTGATAAGGATTTTTTGCATTATCTGCATTTTGACATATTTGTTAAAATACAAAATGCAAAGGAATGTTACTTTGATTGTAAAAAGATGCTCAACTCGTGATGTGGATTAAATTGAGGTTTATTCCACTTTTCTCTGGTGTAAACTTGCTTTCTAGAATAAATGTTTGACTGACAATTTTTATGTTAAAAAAGCAACGATATTATGGTTTGTACTGAGGAATTTACAGAATACACTACCAAATAATGTTTTTGTTCTTTAAATCTTCTTGCATTTAATTCCATTTTTCTACATTCAACAGTTAATATTTTACTACTGAAATCTAGTTATATAATATGTCACTTAGGATTAAGTAAATCAGAGAATAGCTGCAATAATAGTAGTTTCTGAAATCATTTGAGAAATTCATTAAATTTTTCTTTTACATTAAATTTGAACATCATAAGAATGGGGAAAAAATGTAATGCCAAATAAACATTGATGAGTCTCAGTTGGGGATGTAAATAGCAAAGAATTATACAAATTCTGTTCAGATATAGTAATATTTTTTAAAAATGTTGATATGAAATAAGAAGATGTTGTAAGAAAGCTATCCACCAAAGACAAATGAGAATCTTCTGGTTTTATCCATGGGGTTCAAAAAAAAAAAAAAATTGCCTGCTAACTGCTATTTTTCTTTTTATAATTTTATTATTTATAGTTTAAAAGCCCTTTTTTCGAAAATCTCATAAAATCCTTATTATTTTTTCATAGTTTTTGAAAGACAAAAGGTTCAAATGTATAAAAAATCTCAAGAGAGAATCATTCCCCGCCAAATTTTTAATGGCCTATATCTCAAAAACAAGGACACAGACCTTGTATTTTTTTCTGCTTTTTAAGTTTTTTTTATATAGCTACTATCAGTTTACATCAGTCTTTCAAAAAGCTTGTTATTTTATAACAGAGAAGCAAACTTCCTTAAGAGAGTTTGCTATGCACATGATCATTATAATATGAACTTAAAATGTGTCCAAATTAGGTCTATGACAGTTTACATGGAAAAGAGAGATCCGAAATCTTAAATATATGGTTAAACCTTGCCACATATTGAAAGATGAAAAGGTGAGGTCTGAGATCTCAAAAAACTAGTTTAACCCTGCCACATATTCTTGTCCCTCTACTTAATTAGTTAGGACTGTTGTCAGCTGATGGCTTTATATCTTGTTTAATTTTTTAGGTAATTTTGAAAAGATGGCATATCTTTGATACACTTGGTTGAGTTAATTCCAAGTGACATATTTAGTCTTGGGACAATTTAGAGCCCCACATATTGTGTAGACACATGCCTAGTTAATTTTAATAGGATGACATGATCAGCTGTCAATATTCCAAGATTGGCTGTCAGTCAATGACATCATTGCACGATCATGGTTGACATTTCCAGGAAAATTATAGTTGAAGATTTAATTGATTTTGATTTTAATGTTTTAGTTTATTGCCATTCAAAACACATAAACAGAATAATATTGCAGTTTAGGTTAATATAAATTGAACAACAACAAAACAACAAAAACCAGCATGATTCATTAATTTTGTTTTCTTTGCAAAAGACATAAAATACTGACATTAGCTACAAATGCAAAAAACATCCAACATTGTCCAATACATTTGGTAGTGAAGAAACATTATTTATTTAGTGAATTTAATTTATTTCAGAATGATTTAATTGGACAGAGTTTGTTTGATTATTTACATCCAAGAGATATGAATAAAGTAAAGGAACAGTTGTCTTCATCTGATATGTCACCGCGGGAACGGTTTATTGATTCACGGAGTAAGTCATACAATTAATTATTTTATCATCAAAGAATGAATAGTATAATATTTAAATGAGATATTTGTAACTGAAGTCACATTGATTTATTACAAGTATTTCTTATCTTCAAAGGGAGAAGGTACAATTTGAATGTCAAATCAAGAATTTCATAAATTTCTCCAATTTGCAAAAAATTCAATAAAGTATGATATGTTAAGTCACATTTGATTGGATGACTGCTGCGGCCTGCCGTCAATCCCACAGTTGGCGGTCGGAATAACAACATTGAGCTATCACAATGAATATTTCATTTATCTTATTTTGTTTCACAGGACCTGCATACTGAGTTTATTACCTCACAATTTTTATTAGTATTTTTAAAGAGAAAGGTGAATTGTACAGTTGCAAGAAATCTGTAGAAACATGCATAGTTTTTGCTGTAAAAGTTAGATATGCTAGTTATTGTGTGCACAATTCATTATTGTGTAATACATTTCTTCAGTTACTCCAAAGGCAAAACAATGTAAATGCTTAAAAATGAAATAATCTAAGCTATCGAAGTTCACCTTTCATGCACATGAGGAACAAAGTTTTATCATTTCATTTACATGTGTACTGAGCATATTAGTGCTAAAGCATTTCAGGTAATGTAAGTGTTGAAACATTAACTGCACACCATTTGAAATTTATAGTCAACTACCAGTGATTGTAAACTAGATGTAGTAATCACTTTATAAGATTATATTTCCCTTTTTCAGCAATGATGCCTGTGAAAACAGAATTATTACAACGACCTACTCATTTATGTTCTGGTGCTAGACGATCATTTTTCTGTCGCATGAAAACTGGTAATAAACTTGATATGTGTTCACAGTTAAAATTAGAGAAGGATGAACCTGATATGGTGACGAGAAAGAAAAAATCAGGTTTGTATCTAGTTACGTTTGGGTGTGTTTCACATGAAATTGTTATGTAAGTAGTTCATATTAATTGTATTATGAAGTAACAACTCTTCTTTGTAGACAACCATAAATCTCCACATCTTCTAAGAAACAGGTGTTCATGGCCAACATGGTCATACTTGTATTAGTTTTAGTATTTATTCTTAAAAGGAAGATCAAAACATACTGGTAGGATGCTCAGAGCCTTTTAAGTAAGCTCTTCACAGCAGTTTAAGGGATCATAGATTTATTTTTATGATGAAGCTCAAATAATAGTTGCATGGTGCTCAGAGCTTTTTAAATAGACCTTTTTCAGTAGTCCATTACTAACTGGGTAGTTGGAACTTGGAAATACAAAATACTTTATGTTTTTAATATATTATTAGGTATAACATTTTGGAACCAAAATACCAATACCTAGCTATAAAAAAACAACAATGATTGTCTTTTCCCCTAAAGCTACCAAGCTCTTCTATACTCATCATCTCAATCACTGTTTGCAAATGATTTAAATGTGATTTCAGGTATGAATCAAGCTACCTAATGACACAAAAATCCTAAAGACAAACATACCTCATACAGGCACGTCATTGATTTTAGCAGCATGATCTAAACATCTATGAGTATATATTTATTCAAGCTTTTTTTAACATTTGAAATTTTTATTTCTAGTTTCAGATAGGAAATCATTCACTGTGATACATTGTACAGGATATTTAAAATCTTGGCCCACATCAAAAATGGACCTTAATGAACAGGATGAAACAGACGACTGTAGTTTAAGTTGTCTTGTTGCAGTGGGCAGGGTTAAAACGGGTTCTAGACAACAACAAATTGTGAAAGACAATGAAAGTATAGATGTCCGACCAGTTAAATATGTATCGCGGCATGGCTTAGACGGCAAATTTACTTATATAGATCAGGGGTAAGTATCTTATATTGTATTAAGTAATTAAGAATTTCAAAGTTGTTGAAGTTTTAATGGTGAATAGCAGTATTATTTAAATAGTTTTCTTCTATATCGTAACATATATAATGGCCTCACATACTTATAAATGTCGTAAGAAAGGGTGGTTGTTGTATTTTTCAAGGCCAGCCAAAATTAGGATGTAGGTTTTATTTTGCAGCATTGTGAAAGATTGGTTGATAGGTCAGGAAGAACTTTTTTTTTTAGAGTAGGGCATAAGGGGGAATTTGCTCTGCAACACACATATATACCAACTCAAGATAATTGCAAGATAATTTTTGTTTTTTTGTTCAGTGCATCCTTTTGAATTAATCACTGTAAATGTACTATGCTTGACCAATGCAAATACATGAAATAAAAATGACAATCAAATGAAAATGATCACCCACATCTAGTTATCTGTATATTGTCATTTTGTGTATAGTAATCAGGTTGTCCTTTTGTTTTATGATCTGTCAAGTATTGCTCAAACTTTAAACAATCACTACCACTATATCAATGAAAAATAATAATGCTTGCAAAAGCTATAAATAAATTTAACTACCAAGAGAAGGCATTAAAACTATGCCTTTAGATTCTAGGGCTGCTAGAAAATGAAAAAGGATTATGGTGCTTTCAGATAGATTTTAAAGATTTTTTTGAATGTTTGATCATATGTACAAAAAATGGTTTCTATGTAATGTAAGCTTTATTCTTTATCCTATTGTTTTATAGAGCAACAGAATTAATTGGTTATTTACAACAGGAAGTGCTAGGTACATCTGTGTATGAATATTATCACCAAGATGACATGGCTGACATGGCAGAGGTTCACAGACAAGGTAAGAATAACTAGGTACATCTGTGTATGAATATTATCACCAAGAGGACATAGCGGACATGGCAGAGGTTCACAGGCAAGGTAAGAATTACTAGGTACATCTGTGTATAAATATCACCAAGACGATATGGCAGACATGGCAGAGGTTCACAGGCAAGGTAAGAATTACTAGATACATCTATGTATGAATATTATCACCATGAGGACATGGCGGACATGGCAGAGGTTTACAGACAAGGTAGGGGCCTCGGTAGCTAAGTGGTCTAAGTAGTTCTACTACTGTAATCACTAGCCAGTCAACACTGACGTTGTGAGTTCGAACCCCGCCCGTGCGGGTGCACTCGACTCCAATCTTAATTGACTAGGATTGTCAGTTTTCCTATCAAAGGATGGTGGTTTTCTACAGGCACTACGGCTTCTACCACCAATAAAAACAGGCCGCCACGAAATAGCCTAAAAATGGTGCTTAAAAGTGGCATTAAAACACCAACAATCAAATCAAATCAATCACAGACAAGGTAAGAGTTACTACATACATCTTTGTATGAATATTATCACCAAGACGACATGGCAGACATGGCAGGTTCACAGACAAGGTAAGAACTGAACAAACTTATAATTGTAAACAATTGAAGTTAAGTTATTATAAAGTTAAAATTGATAAGAGATCTTCCATTCCAATTGATTGATTTTTCGCTAGAATGGTATCCCTCACTATTTGAAGGAAGTGGGTTTGTTACTACCCATATTTAAACAAACTTTTTACATGTAAAATTGGTATTTGCTGCTTCTCAGCTAACCACATGAATGTTTAGAGAGAGACTGAAGATTGGTCAGATCTCAGCTAAGCATGTAAATATTAATAGAAAGATTGGTCAGATTTATATGTGTTATTATCATTATTGGTAGTAATATGATTTCAACTTTAATGTGTGTGTACCTGCTGAATTTAGAATTTTACTGGTTAAAATAATATGGAAAAATTGTAGAAATATCGGTATTTATTTTGATCTCATACTAAAAAAGACAGAACTATGCTCCTTAAATATAAAAATAATGGGATGTGGTATGATTGCCAATGAGATAACTATCCACCAGAGTTCATAAATAACACACTACAGGCAGCATAAAAACAATATATGTACAACATTAACATGAGTTATGTAAATGTATGTATGTATATGTTAAAATATATAAATATTTATATCTGTTCTTTTGTTAGGAACATGTTATTAAATAAATTGGATCATTTTGATAAGTCAAAATATAGTGTATGACACTTAGGTTAGATCAACTGAGAAGAGTTTTTTTTTAAACAAAATTTGTAAGGGTTATAAATGAAAATAATTTCTTTTAAAAAGTTTGAGATTGTTAGTATGGAAGTATTTTCTTTATTTTAGTTTTGAAAACCAAAGAGAAAACTACAACGAATGTATATAGATTTAAAGCTAAGAATGGTTCTTTTCTACATCTACGATCTGAAATGTTTAGTTTTGTAAATCCTTGGACTAAAGATGTAGAATACATTGTTAGTACAAACACGATTATTCCGTAAGTTTAATATTTCATTTATTACTTTGTAATCAGTAGGATATAATTGGAATAAATATTGAGATTTTTACAGTTTGATGTGTAAATATTATATATAGATACTGAAGTAATTATTATTATTATGATTAATAAAGATATTATATTGGTGTGTGGATATGCATTAAAACATTTGCCACTGGATGATTAATTAACAATCCATATTTAATAGATCAAAGATGACATTAAATACAAATAGATGAGATAAAAAAGTTATGGACTAAAAGTCTAATGGATTCAACCTCTGCATCAAATGAGATATGACATTTCCGTAGTGCAGCTTATTCAATTTTAGAATGTAGAAATACTTTCCAAGCATTTTCAATACACCAATCTCAAGTGGTCTTTAATGAATGATTTACACCGGTTAACTTGAGGTCAATCGTTGTAAATGATGTCATTAAACAATCGATTCTTACTGTGACGTAATAATATAAGCTTTGTGACATAGGAAATGTATGTGTAAGTGCACAAATTCGAAAGTTGTTTATATTTGAAGATTTAACTTTATAGTTAGAGAGGAGATATAGAAGCAAATTAATAGATCCTTCATGTCTCATCTGTCTTAGATAATCTGCTAATAAATTGGGTTTTAATGGGAACCATTGAAAAGTGCTCTTTCCAAAGCATGAGTTAGATTTTTATGTTCCCATCATTGACATCAAATGACAATCAGAGTTCGTTAACTCAACTCATCAAGTATTGAATTTGGTTTACATTCTAAGTGGGAAAAAACCTAAAACTTTCTTTTGTTCCAGTGCAGGAGATTCTAAGAAACTGCACAGGGGCGATCCTAGTGGCAGGAGGTTCCAAACCCAAATGTTTGCTGACTGCTGTAGAGTTGGCAGGTATTTAGTAGTTATTAAACAATGGGACTTTTTGTTTTACAGTCAGCAAGAAGTTAGCAGTTCAGGACAGGCAGCAGATGCAGGTGGTGTTACCTTGGAAACGTTCAATGATGCATGGGAGGAAAGTGACTGTAAGTATAGTGTATTAAGGGGAGGCAATACAGTTTCAATTTAGAAACATAAGGCATAGCATAAAACATACAAACAGAAGCTCTGTTTATAATATGATATGGCTTTCATTGTGGTTTGTCCAATAAATATATAAAAAGTATGTATTACAGTGCTTATTTTAGATAAAGCTAAAAATTTGGTAGGGAATGGGAGTTTTTCCTATTGGCTCCTCCTTTTTTGTGGGAAAATCACTTTATAACATTCAGAAAAGAATTGGAAGACATCAGGAATAATAAGGATAACAGAGGAAGAAGGAAGAAAAGCCAGATTTACTGTGGAAGACATCAGGAACAATAAGGATAACAGAGGAAGGAGGAAGAAAAGCCAGATTTACTGTGAAAGACATCAGGAATAATGAGGATAACAGAGGAAAGAGAAAGAAAAGCCAGATTTACTGTGGAAGACATCAGGAATAATAAGGATAACAGATGAAGGAGGAAGAAAAGCCAGATTTACTGTGGAAGACATCAGGAACAATAAGGATAACAGATGAAGAAGGAAGAAAAGCCAGATTTACTGTGGAAGACATCAGGAACAATAAGGATAACAGAGGAAGGAGGAAGAAAAGCCAGATTTACTGTGGAAGACATCAGGAACAATAAGGATAACAGAGGAAGGAGGAAGAAAAGCCAGATTTACTGTGGAAGACATCAGGAACAATAAGGATAACAGAGGAAGGAGGAAGAAAAGCCAGATTTACTGTGGAAGACATCAGGAACAATAAGGATAACAGAGGAAGGAGGAAGAAAAGCCAGATTTACTGTGGAAGACATCTGGAATAATAAGGATAACGGAGGAAGGAGGAAGAAAAGCCAGATTTACTGTGGAAGACATCAGGAACAATAAGGATAACGGAGGAAGGAGGAAGAAAAGCCAGATTTACTGTGGAAGACATCAGGAACAATAAGGATAACAGAGGGAGAAGGAAGAAAAGCCAGATTTACTGTGGAAGACATCAGGAACAATAAGGATAACAGAGGTAGGAGGAAGAAAAACCAGATTTACTGTGGAAGACATCAGGAACAATAAGGATAACAGAGGAAGGAGGAAGAAAAGCCAGATTTACTGTGGAAGACATCAGGAACAATAAGGATAACAGAGGAAGGAGGAAGAAAAGCCAGATTTACTGTGGAAGACATCAGGAACAATAAGGATAACAGATGAAGGAGGAAGAAAAGCCAGATTTACTGTGGAAGACATCAGGAACAATAAGGATAACAGAGGAAGGAGGAAGAAAAGCCAGATTTACTGTGGAAGACATCAGGAACAATAAGGATAACAGAGGAAGGAGGAAGAAAAGCCAGATTTACTGTGGAAGACATCAGGAATAATAAGGATAACAGAGGAAGGAGGAAGAAAAGCCAGATTTACTGTCGCCATCTATAGAAATTTTACAGTTGTATGTTGAAGGAGTGGTAAATGAATTGTGCATCAGTGAAACCCAAACAAACAAGTTGTTATTTTATCATTTGGAACTTGATTGAGCAACAATTATTATTATTTTTCAGCTTGTCTTGAAAGCCTCGAGAGGAAAGAAAAGAAGAAAAGTTCTTTACCTGCTAGTGTTAGGTTAGCTCCTGCAAGAATAGGTCGACAGATTGCGGAAGAAATCATTGATATGCAAAGGTATATAGCATTGTTTAATTATAAAGCTCTGGAATTAATATCTTGTTCAATCACCATGGCGTTGTCAGTTTATTTTCAACTTATGAGTTTGACTGTTCCTTTGGTATCTTTGGCCTCTCTTTTGAGAGCCATTTGACCAATGCTTTTCAAATTTCAATATGATATTTCTAATGGCAAGATTCAGGTCGAGGTCGATTTTGACAATTTTATTTTGCCTTTCTGGAGCTATAGTCCTTGATTTATTGGGATATAGCACTTTATTTTGTTTTAATACAATGACTTAAGAATTATTCAACCAATGTTTTCAAACCATTGACTTGAGGTTACTAAAGGTGAAATGTGGACAAGGATTTTCAATTTTGCCATTCAGAAGCAAATTTTGATACATTGGTTTCTTAAAAAAAATTGGAGGTCAAGATTGGTTTTGACAATTTTCACTTTTGAGAGTTATGGCCCTTGATTGCTCTAACAAAAAAACATAATTGCTGTCATTTGGAAGTTTCCAGATTTTTAAAATGAATACTGACTAGCAAAGATGTCTCATGTCTACACAATTTTTATTTTTATTCTCTGTATTCAATTAAATGATATTTTCTTTTATTTTCAGAATTCCAAATTCGCCTCTAGCAGATAGTACCAATAATGCCACTCAATCATCAGTCCCAGAAATGGTATGTGTTCATATGTAACTAATGAAACTTATGTATTTCTAAAATCTGTAAAAATGTATTTGAGGACAATGTACATACTTTAACAGTAATTAATGACTTTTCCTATTATGAACATTTTAAACAAAGTTCTAAAGTTCTAAAATATATATATATATATTATGTGAAATTACCAAACAGATGAATCTAATTTTAATGATAAAGGCACACAACTTCCCAATTCTAATGCTATGTAAAAAATGTCATATCAAAGCTTTTTATACTCTATCATGTCTCTTCTGTAAATGATTTTTTTTTCAGCCCAAAGCCAGGAGTTCCTTAGCTTCACCAAGTGAGTATTAAAAAGTCTCTTCTTATTTCACCTAAAAGGACAAATATCCAAATATTTTGAAAAAGAACAGAATGTCAGGTCATTTTCCTTCCTCAGTCTTGAATGAATTAGGTCATGATGTGGGACTAAATATATTGTATACGAGTCCATACTTAACGATTGCAAATTTCTTTTTTTTTCGAGACAGATGGACCTTAGACTGGTACCTGACTGTTATTTGCCAAGTTTGACATACTGAATATTTTATGGAGGGAACCAACATAGATGGACCTCAAAAGCAAATACATTACCATTCAATAATTTAAACACTTATAGGGATGATTATGACAACAGAAGTTAATAGCAGTATTTTTACTCCTGTAAACTGAATAACTGAAAATGTGAGGACAAATTATTTTACACCATTTGATGAGCCCATTGACAAATTTAAACTTAAATTAAAGGCATTATTGACCACAAAAAATATTGCTTATAGCCCTATAAGTATAAGTGAAGATAAGATTGAAAATTTTACTTTTCTCAGGTAATGGAAGAACTAGTCCACGAGTTCCTAGGAATGGTCTCACACATCACCCTGACACAGGTAAGTACTATACATTACACTTTATAAGCACCCTAGTTACTGTGGAAGTTGCTAAGAAACTACAAATTTGGTAGGGGAAAAATAATTTACTGTCATATGAGGAAAAATTCAGAAAATGATGACTGATTGGTCTGAACTTTTCTGCTGATTATCAGAAGCCAATCTACTATGAAAAGTGCAGAAATGTTCCAATCAAAACAATCTGTTTTTAAGTGTTCTGGTCAGATGAAGGTTATGAAATAGCAACTTCTGGTTTGAGAACAAAGTTTAATTATTAAAAAATTATTGAAATTAGAGATTGGACCTCTTTAATTGAATGGTCTTCAGTAGACTACTGTAGCAAAAAGTTTTTTTTTCACTGACAGCTGTTTGGTGTTCTGGTTACTCACCAAGGACCATTCTCTGTAAAACAAATTGCATAAAAAACTCTTCCTTCTATCATCAATATGGCATGAAGGTTAATGATAAGTCAAGAAATTGAGAGAGAAAAATAACCTGACTTGTTTTAAGGGAAATAGCCACATTTTGAGTTAAATGTCAAACATATTAAGATGATGAAAGCAATTATTTACCATCAAAAAAGGGAAAAAAAAATATAAAACAGATGAGAAAAAAAAGTATTGGATGAGGGAAAATACTCACTTCACTTTTCAAATGGAGGAAAAAAATTATTTAAGGTTAGAAATAGAATGATTTGACTAAATAGGGTTTTCCATGTATGTTAAAACTTTTCTATTGAATTTAGAAATATTTGGGATGTTTTTTGTTATTAGAAAATGACCGGATTGGTTTTGTAAAAATAGAAACTTGTACAATGTATCTAGTGGTTGTCAATGTTGACACCATTGTTTTTATGCAGATTTCCCAAAATTGTACTAACTAATATAATCTCACATTTTCAAAAATGGCAAAAATAAATGCTTGCAAAAATTTCTGAATTTACAGTAATTAATTATTTTCATATTTACAGCATCATCTACAGCGGTACCAAATGCACAAGAAACAAATCTTTTAGAGAATGTGATTGCTGAACAACAAGTCTTTGAGGATCTCAATATATCTGGGAATGATGGCAATGATGAAGCAGCCATGTCTATAATCATGAGTTTGTTAGAAGCAGATGCAGGTCTCGGTGGACCTATAGACTTCAGTGATCTACCATGGCCATTGTGATATTGGCTTGTGTTATTATTACTGACAGAGACAGTTGTGCCTTACAATACATACATAATGAATGAACGCAGTCACAGAAAGTTGTGATTTTGTTATCAGCCTGAACTTTTTGTTGAAATTAGTTGAACACTGGAGGCCTATGCAGCTGGACTGCATATATAAACATAAACAAATAGAGAAATATTTATATATATGAAGTGGTGCATCATAGTTTGTTCCAAAGAGAATTTCAGGTTCATTGTATTTCGCTTGCAGCAATTTTTGATTTTCAGACAATGTATTTATCAAGTTGTGTAGCATATCATCCTGCAAAGAGCAAGAATATCAATGTTTTCATCATAATTCATCTCATATAAACCTTTGCAAAATAAAATTTATCTGCAATCCCTCAAGAGGAAAGTTTTTTTTTAATTGTTTATTTAAGAATTGTTTTTTTTTAATATTTAAAGCTTTTTACAAGTGTCAATATCTTTAATTTGACTGTCCTTTATAATTGAATTAAAGGTGTGTTTTCCTTTCCAGATTTAGACTTACATTCAAAACTTTCTATAATGTCAATTATTAGGGATTCATTAGGTGCCAAATTTCATTGATAAAGGAACACTTGTATTTACATGAGTAATTGTGTTCATGCTTTTAAGAAAATCTGCATCCTCCAGGTCTATAAGAAATTTGCCTTTTGTTCAACATTTGAATTTCATTTCTGCCCACATTATCCAGGAAAATTAGTATCTCACAAATACTTTCAAATCCACAGTAACAGCTACAGATATTTTAAATGTAAAATATCTACTCAAAACTTCTATGAAGTGAATCATCTGCTGGACAGATAGTGATACTTCTTTGAGGTTCAGTATAATTCATACTAGAGAATCACCTTTTGACCTTGAATATTACAAATGGTGTCATTTACATAAATACAGACATTGGACAGAAGTCTTTGCACTTCAGTGCAGACATTTTGTATGGTAAATCTGGTTTAAAATCAACAATCATTAATCACAATGTTAAAAGGAAAAGTAGAAATAAATTTGAAAATACTTGAATGAGAAAAAATCATGTTAGGAGGGCCATTGTCATCATTGATAAGATAGTTATTGTCAATTAAAAGTCTTAAACCAACCTTTTTACAAGGAATGAATTTTATTTAGCCGATTGTGTCAAACAAAGTACTAAAGAAAGACTGATTAATATTTGTCTGAGTTTAATTTACACAGGGGCATAATTCAATGATACAGCAACAAAACAACCCAATAAAACCAGAAAATACACCCAAAAGAAGACCTGCTTTTGTCCAATGTCAGTAAATATTAAATGCAGGTAAGACAAACAATTACATTAAAAATGATTTTCTTAATCAATGTGCTGCTTCAGAAGCTTAAACTTTCAGACTACTGATGGGCTAAAGACCTTTTTAAGCTACAGATTTATTCATTCACACAGAACAACTAAAATATGAATTTTAGCTCTTTGTAGCAGAAAGTTTATGATCGATGTAATGCAAATATGAATGACACAATTTATGTAAAGAAAAACTGACGAAAGTTATCTCCCATTGATATATGTATCAAACATAAAAAAAAAAATTAGTCATGTAACTCAAACATCTTGGAACTTTCTTAAGTTTAACTTTTTTCTTGTTTGTGTGCTTAATAATTGATTTATTGATCTCATTTAAAACCAAAAGTCAAGCATTAGCAACTAATGGTCAGAATATATTTATTACACTGCAACTGTTTTTTTCTAACCACAACTTTTCATTTGCAATAAGATACAAAATGTCCAAGAGTTGTATAATTTGAATGAAATAATTCATACTGCAACTTGAAAAAGTGTTCAATCCAGGAGTATACTTCACAACGAAGAAATTTTCAAATAATGGATATACTGCAAGGTAAAGCCTCTTTGATAAGCTCAATAAAAATTATTTAAAGAAATAGATGTAGATATTTTGTGCAGGAATATAATTTTGATGAAATGGTGCCTTTCAAATGAATGAAGATAGAAATGTTGTTGTTTTTTTTACTTGAAAAATGGTTGTTTAAAAAGAAGGAATCAAATTGACAGAAATCATTTAACTACTCATTATAACATTGTACACAGTTCCATATTGTTTTAATTACTCAGGAACTCTACATTGTTTATGTACTCAGCTTTGTATGAGTCAATGTTTTAAAAGTAGAATGGAAGACCAGTGGTTATTCTATTTCATTTTTCAAATTCCATTATTTGTATAAATTCATATTTTTCATAGAATTATAAGATTGTCTATCGATAAATGTTATTCGTCTATTATATATGTTCAATTGATGTGTATAACAGAGATAATTTATGTATATATTTATTGCCAGTTGGCAGTTTTGCCAGATTTAATTTTCCTTACAAGATTCCTATATATCTGTGATATTTACAGCTTACCTGGACCATTGATTGGTCCTATTAAGATATTACCATCACTTGGTATCCATCACAACAATAGTCGTCATACAATGGCTTCAATATGTTTGAAACCAGGTTTCAATCAGAACCGAAGACAGCCCAATCAAACAATGTTAATTTTGATATTAGATATATTAGTATATAATAAGTTATGATCTGTTACAGATTAGTTATGTTTATTATACTGTCTGTCTTTTTGTTTTGGGGAGGGGGGAGTGGTGATGTATTATATTCAATCTAGAGGGTTTCACTGTATTTCTAGTACTCCTGTGGTTGTAATTTTTTTTAATAAGGAAAATTAGGGTACATTTTTATTTTCAACAATATTGTTTGGTTAACAATATTCGTAATTTATTTTTGCAATGCATTTTAAGCACAAAAAGTGAAAGTGCAATTTAAATTGTATATATATTAATGTAGGAAAATTTTGCAAGGGTATTTATTGTTGATTATTTCCCAATTCAGAAATTCTCAAAAAATATTACCTTGTGTGAATTTGTTCTTTAATGAAGATTAGAGTTAGGACAGGAAATATTTATATTAAACCTTGGAAACAGATTTGGAACTAGAAATTCCGAAATTTAACTTAAAATGAATCACAGTAGCAGGAGATGAAAAGGAGATGAAAATACTAGGTGAAGCATATAGGATAATGGTAGCATATTTAGGGCATTATTTTTGTGTGAGTACAACGATTTACACATATTTGTTTTCTTCAAATAAAAAACGGCATATACCAGGATGGTTCAAGAGATATCTGGGTTTAAATTAAAGATCAATTACATCTGGTAATAGCATAAAGAATATATAATCTTCGTTTTATGCATTGTAATTATTTTGACCACCCTAGTAGGGGTATTTAGTTTTTGACCCGTCCATCCTTCAGTTCTGTCTTCGTTTATGATCAAAGTTACTCAAAAAAAAAAGGCCAAAAATGATGTTTAGTCGCAAGTTGATTATCGTTTCCGAATCCACTACTTCTTATCAATTCTCTAGCTTAACCCATTTCTATTAAAACGACTGTCTGTTTTACGTTTTGACAATGAATCAACGATATTTCATAAAAATAGTTTAGTATTTTGTCTTTTTTATTCTATAATAGCTGGAAATGATTATATCCACACAGTTCGCATCTATAATTAGACATTTGACAAGTTAACATAAGTTTAAGATAACTTAAATGGGATGTTAGCTCCCCTTTTTAACACCAGATTTAGTTTTGTATATACATATTTCATTTAATGTTTAATCATTACAAATTATTTATATTGAATAGATTTTGGTATATTTAATTTATTCAAAAAGACATATATTAATATACAGAATGTATTTATCATGTTTTGAAAAGTTAAAAAATTTTAATTACCAAAATTTAGAACCTTCAAAATTTATATATATAATGTTTAGCAACATGTTTTGGTTAATTGAAGACTAAACACCGTTAAGCCGTTCTTAGTCAAAAAAATATTGATAAGGTAGATGCCATAAATCTGCAATTTCATAATGCTCAAATTCATGTTGCTTTCCTAAAGTATTAAAATTATGTGCTTACGATTTAAATTGAACAATTATATTCAAATCTGTTTAAACTGTTTCCGTTTCATTAAGTTACGATTATTTTAACGTTAATACATTTGGCATATATTGTTCACCGGTAAATAAACTAGTTTTATCTGAGGTACGCATTCTGAATCCCCATCAGAATTGCTCTTGCTACGGATGTACAATGAATAATTATCTTGATTTCATAAACTTACAATCAAGCTGTTCATAGCTGTGATCGTCTAGTCGTTGGTAACGAATGTCATAACGGTGACATTAACAGTGCAAAGTTCGAACCTTGTATCCAGAATGAAATTTTTTCATTGTAATTTTTTTCTCGATAAAAATATTTTTTAATCTTAGAGGTATTATATACTTCATTTTCATTTAAAGGCGATGATTTTGTTTCTGGTTTTACAGTCAAAGAAGTAGTTTTACGGTCGTAGCTTATATATCACACTTTACTCAAATTAGAGTCCGTTCAATGTTGACGTGATATAAATAAATTGGAAAAGAACATGAACAAATCCAGACATAGTATATATATTTTATTAGATAACAAAAGCGAATTATCTCTGAGATAGAAATACAGTTGATTGACATGTATTGACAGTTGTGTGCTTTAAGAGTGTTATTTAAATAATGATTTATGTGAGCACTCGTGGTATAGTGGTATCATGCATAGACTGAAGACTCTACTGATTATGAAGAAAATACGCGCGAGTTCGAACCCTTCATATGCCATTCGTTTTTGAGAGGATAAAAAATCGTAAGTTAAAAGTTTAAAGTTATAAAATAAGTTACCTTAAGTTAACGAAGTGGTCAGTGGATACTTGAAAAATAATCCACTGCAAGAACAATAGAATGACGTCAGAGAAATGGGTTAATGGTTATTTCTGATATTTTTTCTCTGAAAAGATATATGCAATATCCATGCATCAGTACAAGTAAACATTTTAATGTTAAAACTTCTTTGTATACTATTATACTAAACTGCAATAATATTGAAATTATCCAGATTCACAAATTAAGAGGAATAATGAATAATATCTAATTCACAAATTTTGATTTCAAAATCAACTCAATTTATGAAAATCAATAATCAACATAACTTTATCTACTTGCATGTCTTGTTAAATAAAGTTAAATTAATTTTATATATAGCAATGGGTGTTCAATCATATTTGGAGATATTTGTTGCTTCCCTCAGGTACATATCCATGAGTTGAGGTAAAGGGGAATAGTTTGGAGGCCATCTTAAGCCCTAACCAGTCCAAAGGCAGTGCTAGATTTAAATTTGTACTAAATTTCTGTGCACTCTTTTAAATTCCCCCTCCCCCTAGTATGGTTAAGTTGCAGTGAAAAAAATCATGCAACATGTTAAGATGAATTAATAAAAAGTAAATTTATATGTACAACATAATTTTGATGATAAAAAATTATCTATCAAATTTTTGTTATTTTTAGTATAATAGTAATCTGAAAAGTGAATTTTTATTCTGAATTTAACTTATCAAACTGTTATTTTTAAACAGAAAATCTCATATATAATATTTTTCGGGATCAGAAGGAGCATGATGGGGATCAAAAGTTTGGAATTTTGAAAAAGAAGGAAACAACTATTCTAAATTGATTGTAGTCTATGCTGTTGTTTTTATAGATGTATTACCTGTAAAAACTCTTGTGTGCTTTCCTCTGGGTTAATCTATGTTTGAGTGGCAAACAACAAAAAGAGCTAACCCAAGGAAACTGACGTTATTTTATATTTGTTAAATTTTATATAAAGTCTGGTTGATAACTTGCAATGTACAATCAGCTAAACTTTGCCTTTTCATGGTAATTTGATTAAAAGGCAATCCCATTTTAATGATGTTTTTTATAAAATTTTATAGAATGCTTTCGTTTGCATCTGATGTACTTGTTGTGAAAACATTTGAGGGTTGAAGAGAGATGGATTTAATTTTTGTTTTTTTTAAAGAAGGCATTATATATCTGAACTGTTTAACATTGTGCCACCCTGTTGTAGAATATGTCACAACTTCAATTTCCTTCAAATGATTTTGTAGTGTTTGATTAAAACAATTAGTCCTAAAATTTTCATTTACAATTTAAGTGCAAGTTATAAATGATTCAGCAAATTTGGGAGAGCTGTTTATTTGATTTAGAATTTTTGAAAAACATGGTTTATTTTTTAAGTGAGTTTAACAATATTTTGTTTAATTGTAAAAATATCATAGAACTGTTTTTATTACTAAATGGACTAATTGTTTAAATTATATTTCATTTAAAGTATCTATGTCTCTTGTATGTACTGGAAAATTGAAAAGAACTATTAGTAAAAGGAGTTGTGGCTCATTATTAGAAATGATAGATAAATGTGCCTTGTTATAAGTGTAGTGTGTTTCCTTACAACGGAAATTGATGTTAAATATTACGTGATGTAATGTGCCTTGAAACAGATGATGGTATAGGTTATCATAAGATACATATAATGACGATATTTCAAGGTTCTATACATGACCTTGAGAAATTAATGTTCAAAATACATGAGTTACATTTAAAAGGTGCTGATTCAGTGTGTTGTGAACAGTCATTGTCATCTGTTTATACATTTCACATAGTTTCCTGTGGTTG